TTGGGCGCCTCACATGCACATCCACCATGCATTGGGAACATCTCCTGTGAATAATAATTTATAAGTATGGGAGATGTTCCCAATGAATGGTAAGGATGTGCGTGTGAGGCGTCCTCTGTGAGGAGCAGATCCGGTCTCTGTTGAATGAATGGATTAGAGTGGATCATTAACATGCATGACCATTGGGAGTTCAGATGGGATCCCCTCATAGCACGCTCGACAAGTGCTCCTCCCATCTTTGTCTATGTTTTCCATGGAATTATAAATATTTGACATATTTAGAAGATAAAAAATAAGGTTATTTTTTAGGACTATACCTGTTTATGGTTTAGGTTTGGGCTTGGCTTTTGTGAAAATTTGAATGAACCTAATCCAAAGTTCAAGCCCAACATAGTGTAAAGTCGGGCCCGAAGCCAGCCTATGAACAGTGAAGGGATGAGATATCCATCGTATGGACGCCCGAATCTTACGGAATAGAATGGGCGGATTTCGTAATTTCTCTCCATTCTATTGGGAATCGTATTCCCTTATATTAGAAAAATCGTATTTTTCAATGATCAATCTTGAACCAAGAACCGAACCATATCTGAACAAAAGCAGTAGGAGAGGGATATACCTAATACGGAGAAATAGTATCTCCCAATGGAGGTGTTCACGCCCAAGGAAGGAACCAAAAACTGCTCCCACTGAAGATGGCGTAGTGCAGGATAGAGCAGAATCAGCAGCGTTTTTCAAAAGAACCAGATCCTTCGCAAGAATCATCTGGATGGCACGTGAGCACTACTTCCAATCAGTCCTTCCACAAAGAACTAATATCAAGATCTGATCTTGATCACTCCCACTGACAACAGGAGATCGAACTGGCAGATATGGCGGTGGCAGGAATGAGGCGACAAGAGAGATTTAGCGCAGTAAAGCTGAATTCTCTCTTCTGTAATTTCAGATCTGAAGACAAGATGTGAAGTGTGTGTAAAGGCTGCCGCCCCCTCCTCCTTTTATAATCTTAAAGGGGCCAACTCTTAATCCTATCAGGAGTTGATCCAAATCATATTTGGATCAGAATTCCCTTTAAGTGATAAGGGTAAACCCTTATCTTATCTGCAGATTGGATCAACCTTCTCCCAATCTCATTAGGAGGTTTCCCGATCTGAATCACATTTAGATCTACACTCTCTGAGTGGATAGGGTTAAGGCCCAATCCTATCTGTTAATCCAATCTCAGAATTCGCCCCTTATTTAACTGATCAAATCAGCCCAGTTCGAAATGGGCTTTAGGCCCAATAAGGTTATGTGCTCACTTAGCCTTCCAAACTGTTGCCCAGTT